GCTGTACCTAGCAAGGTTATCTTTTGTAGTTCACTGATGCTTAATTGGCCGGGAATTCTTCCAAGATAAGTTTCTAGTCCCTTTTTGATAGCTCCAAGTTATTATTATTATTATTATCATTATTATTATTATTATTATTATTATTATTATTATTATTATTATGATGATGATGATGATGATGATGTTTTCTTTGACCAACTGAAAGTCTAGTTCTGGAACGAAACAGTGGACATTAAAGCCCGTTTTCAAAAAGGCATAAACACAAGCATAAGCATAACAGTAATAGAGGCATCCACAGCACAAGTATCAGCTCAAGCTCGTAGCAGTGAAGACCAGCACAACACAAGCAAAAGTGTAAGCAAAAGCAGAACTAACTTTCTTGTGCTTCTTGTGTTTGCCCTTATGCTTATGTCAAGTGAGAATTTGCTGCTGTAACCAAGCCATTAGCATGACCAAAAGTCCGCCATTTTGTTTTATTGTATCGAGAAGGTATGGAACCGAAAAAAGCAACTATCAAATCTGCGCATGCCCATGTGCTTATGCTTGTGTTGAGGGCGTCCTAACTTCTGTCATGCTTATGCTAATACTTGTTCTTATATCGTATAAAAAGTCCAAACTTCGACAATCAGCCTTAGTGCATATTTCCTACTTAAGTGAGTACATGTATTTGCTTCCTCCAAACTTATTATGTGCAATAACATGCCAGGGCAATTGAGTCCTTTGCAAATTTTCTGAGGCGATGTATCTTGGCACAAAATCCTGAGAGATTAAAAAACAATGGATTCTTTCCACAAAAAGCCTTCAAAACACACAAAAACAGAAAAATAAATTGTTTGTTTAATTTAAAATGGACCACGATGCCCGATTTGGAAAGAGGTGAATAGCACTTCTCATATTCTCAAGTTAGGCTTCTTGTCCGTTTTTTGTATTTAAAATAAAACATGGTATTTCTTCAGCAAAATATGAAAGTGGGTATTAGCTACAAAAGTGCATATTTGAAATAAATTTTTTTTAACATAGAAAACAAGGTGGAGGCAATGGTTTATACAAAGCGCCCACCATCTCTGCAGCAAAAACGTCGTAAAAACCCAAGGGAGGGGTTTTAAAAGGCAGAAAAGGTATGGCCACCTTCAAAAAAACCTGTTCAGATTAAGGTCGAGTTTACTTGTAAGCTAACAACAGGATATTATTCAAACTAAGCTTGGCAAAGAACCAAAAAAATATTTCACATTGATGGGGGGTTTGAAGGCAATTAACCTTATCTAAATGACCTTCGCATTTGGCCAAAAGCTGGATTTTATTTTAGAATTTAGGTCCGTGTACCAAAGAGTAGGTAATTGCTACGTAGGTGATACAAGAAACGTGATAGAAATGTTATAGTCCTTAAAATTTAGTATCTTTTTACAACGGTCAAGGAAAAAAGTGTTATTGTTAACCACAATGCCTATTAAAAGGCATTAAAAACGTAATGAGAAAACAAGCAGCAAATAGTTACTTATGAATCTAAAGGAAAAAAGCAAACAAGCAAACAAGCAAGCAAGAAAGAAAGAGTGTTGAATCTGTACAGCATGGTTGAAATTTGTATTTCCAAAATTGTATGTCCAACGCTGTCAATTTATCGTCGGTTTTGTACCTGTCTTTTGAATCCAAAATTGATTAACCCTCAAGTTAACCTATCTATCTTCCCAGGAATCTTACATTAGCAACACAAAGAATGATTACACAGAAATGCCTTAACAGGAATGTGTGATTCCCGCTATTACTTTGTGTCCACGTGACTCAAGTCACGTGGACACGAGGCAAAAATGAGAACAATAACCAGTGTCTGAAATTAGCACTCGCCAGCTCGCTAATGCAAGTGTGAAAAGCGTCGGGCGAGTACAAATCATTGATCACTCCCCCGTTTGGCGAGTACGATTTTTATTTTTGGGAAATTATTTAAACTTAAACATTGATAACACTTATCTTTATTTTCCATTTCGGCAAGAATATCTCTAAACCAGTGCTTTTTCTGTCTTTTAATCTTTTGAAATGCCCAACTAATTTGCCAAGTTTCATAAATAGACAAAATGAACTATGATAATTAACAGAGAGAAACAGGGGTGTTTTCTTGCTAAGGAATAACTCTCACGAAGATTCATCAGTAGAAACCGAAATCCCTTGGTTTAAGGTCTTTCAGCATAATTTTT